GTTTTCGCGGCTGACTCTTTCGTAATCCTGATGCGGGGTGTTTCCTAGTCCGCGATTGCAGCGTCTTCGGCTTGAGTGCGGATTGCTTGCGCTTATTGTTGTTGCTCTTTTGATGTGCTTGTGAACCCTCGTAAGTTCCACTTCGCTGAATGACACGATTTAGGTCTCAACCAGTAAAGGGGGCATGTGATGTGACAGTTCTTGCCGGCTACATGTATTTTCGCAAGGTGAGTGAATCTCCGGAGTGCATGAAGCATTTCGCGGCGCTCATCCAGTAAGGGGGGCATCAAGTGGCTGCCCTCACCCCCCACCCCCCTAGACTGCCTACACTCCCCCTGGCGCACAGGTTTCTCGAAGTACGGGACCCCGTGAGCCAGGGGGAGTGAAGCCAGTTCAGGGGGGTGGGGGTGAGGGCAGCTACTTGACGTTGCATCACAATGCCCCCCCCCTTACCGGATGAGCGCCCATTTCGCTTAAATTTTTGCACCCACTTGGAGCTTCTCTCCTCTGAAAGAAGTTTATTACTTCATGCAGTATGAGCTGTTGCACCACATGCGCCCCCCCCTCCTTACTGGTTGAGACCCTAGTTTTCATGCAATCTCAGTTTTATGTTCGTTTTTGGTCCCCTACATCTTTTTGTTTGCAGATCTCGGTGAATACAGTGGGATGGGCACGCCGTATTTTATGAATACGGCAGGCACGATGTGTGTGTAAGTGGGGACTGCTGCTCGCTACTATGACGTGACGAGACGTCATGAAGTAGCTCACACATTATAACTCACGTATGTCAAATGACTGCTTTCACCCCCAACCCCCTATATTGGCTATACTTCTCTTACCTCACGAATCAACACAATTAGTGACACCGTCGTAGCGGGAAGCGGTCTTTACTTACATACGTCTCGCGCTTACCGTATTCAAAAAAAACGGCGTGCCCATCCCTCTTGTACTGCACCTTGTATTCTTCTAATTAATTTAACTGACACATTTTTGTAGCAAACTTTAACTAAACTTCCGTGCTTCTTCGTGGATGAGATTATCACTTCAGATCTGACAGCTGACTACTGCATATCCTGACGGAAAGTGCCACAGTACAGTTCCACGAAGCCGTAGAATAAGGTTTGGCTTTTTTAGCAATGTTACTTTATTGCCCTTCCGAGCTCGCGGTCTATCCACGGTCTCAAACTTCCATCGTTCAGTGAAACTGCTATCACTTTTGAGCGCTAAAAACTCAAACCTAGGTAATCACGGCATGGGAATCCAAGTTCCAATGTTGGAAACTTCGCAAAGACCGTGATGTAGCGGAGCATTTATATTTTTCCTTTGCTAAAGCATTGGCGACAACGAGGTGTAGTTGCGCGTGTCACATTGCACATCATGGGGGGCATTGTGACATGGGTGCGCGTCCCATCCATGTCATCCCTTTTTTGCACGTGCCCCGATGTTCGCATTTATTTTGTAGGACATATCACAGCACAAATGGGGGAGCGGTCAACAGAATCGTCCGGAGCGGCGCCGTCGCGCGCGACTACTTCGTAACGCGGCAGTTTCTCGATGGGCGCGGCAATAATTGACCTTGTCGATTGGAGCGATGAATTAGCTGCAGTCCACATTAATCGAGCGGACATCGAAGTCTATTTTGCTTGTCGAGATAACTTTTTCTTCTATCACGCTGCGTCAGATTCACGAAAAAGCTCACTTTTACGACTGACCGTGAGGCTTATTGTTAGAGAAGAAGAGGGCTTCCGAAGTGCCTAGGTAGTTCACATTCTGCCCGAATTCCTCCCTCTCCGTCAGGCGTAATCCTAGTGGGCTTCCTACAGACTGCCCCCCCCCCCCGAGGCACATTGCGCCCCATACTACTATTTTACAGCGGAAGAGTTCGAGAAATTTCGTGGAAAAAAAAGACCTAAGAAGAGGAATTTTCTGTTCTGAATTCTGACTTTGCTAAGGTTTTTCTATGCAGTAAAAACCTCAGCAAGGTCAGAATTCAGACTAGAAAATCAGAATAAACAGAGAACTGGAACACAACAATTCATTCCCGCGTTTTATGCGAACGGGAAAAGGAATATCCCTTAACATTCACAATCGAATGACGCTCACAGAAACTCGTCCACCGCATCGCGACGTCGCGACTGCGACCGCTAGCTCGGGTCTTTGGACGATTCTGTTGACACGCACCCGCACAAATGAAGTGGTTCGCAGCATGGCCTAATATGCCTCAGTTCAATAGAGGTTTTCCAGGCACCACATTTGCGATGTTTTTTCACATATTTATTCGCTTCATTCTTGTTTTTTTTGTTTATTCATTGAGCATGACTATAAAAAAGGGTAGTAGAAATAAAGGCAATCTTATACGGGTCGCAATGTATGTCTTTGCTGGAACAACCAGCTAAAAATGCTTCCAATATTCCCGTCAGACTGAGCAAGTGAAACTCGCTTTTTCTTTGTCATCACCTTTCCTTCTGGTTGGTAGTCTATTACTGTACCGCCGGATAAGTTCCACGCATGCTAAAATTTCTTTGTGGCATTCTTTATTGCATATTTAGCACTCAATCCACGTAAATGACGTGAAGTTGCTGCGCGCATCTGTTCCGCGCAACCAAAAAACTCAAAGCGCGCGCTGTCGTCAGTGGTTAACCATACATTTACACTGTGCAGGTTGTATGACATCTAATCCTTTTGGTGCAGCGGGAACCTGGTAGTAAGTAAGAATGCGTGAGCCAGGGGGAATGGGGCCAATTCAGGGGGGTGGGGGGGTGTGTGAGCCACTTAACCTGTGGCAAAAGTTTGGGCCTTAGTGTCTGGTGTCTGGCCTTGTGAAGGAGACGCAGAGGAGCAAAAGGATTAGATGTCACAACACCCACTGTGCACTGCGATCACGGACTGCAGGTTCAACCTACGATTCTGAGGTCCTCTTAGACCATCCACATTTGAGTTCTGGGAGAAATTTATCAGGCTTATGGTCATACGTTCGGAATATGGACAAGTTTTCTCATATGCTTCTCCCTTATTTGAATTGAAATTTTTTCTCGTCTACGCGGGAGGGTCGCCGTTTGATTTCTCTGTGGATTTGTTCCAGCTTCAACCAAAACACTTCTTGTTCATCTTATAACAATAATCCCAGCAGGGTTTTAACCGACACTAATGGCGTGGAACGATGCGCTAGCCCTAGTCAAGAACATAAGAAGTGTGATTGAAAAAACTCACCTTGGAAAGCCGCTGGAAAGGGAGCTGAACGGCTCGAAGGGGCGTGGTTGGAAGTCGGCCGAGGGGATTGCAGCCGACTGAGCAACCACGCCCACTTCGAAGCCGTTCAGCTCCCTTTCTAGCGGCTTTCCAAGGTGAGTTTTTTGTTCAGTCACTTTTTATGTTCTTGACTAGGGCTAGCGCATCGTTCCACACCATTAGTGTCGAAGGTAAAACCCTGCTGAGACTGTTGCTTTAATAAGAATGGAGAGCCTTTTTTGAGCATTTGTGACAAGCAGGGAAAGGGTCACACTGACAGGGAAAAAATGCGTCGAGTATCTACTCGAATATCCGTCATAGTTTACGAAAGTAAGATGGGAGGGGATAAACGACCGCATCAAGCGTTGGGAAGGTTTGCATTTTTTTGGTATCTCCTGTTATTCTATCCAAAGTTCACACATTGGGTTGATACCTTCTTAGTGTGTCGTGACCAGGTGCTGACTGACGGATGCATCGGCGGCTTGCGCACCTGGACCACGCCAGAACGTGGGAATTATGGTGCCCACACACCCTAAGGGGGTTACCTGTCGCGCTGAATGCTACGACGCCTTGCCACGGGCACTTAAGGCCTGACCCCTTAAGAAGCTACGGCTTGTATGCTACACTGTTGTACTATGATTGTAACTAGATAAAGAAGGTTTTGACCGTCTACGTTTACACAGAACTACACCGTATTTAAAGACCGGTTTATGATTGCACTACTTAGACAATAAAGAGAAGGCACATATATATAAAACATACTATGAGGCATACCTGATGAGAAGAGGAATGAGAAGAGAATGATATACCATGATCGGCATGTTGCGTGTAAGTCCCAAGGGTTAGGGTCAGGACGACTGCGCTGGTCCACCGACTTATGCCGGGCAGATGGCTCTCCGGCGTAGACGAGATGAATGGGACCAACTGCGCTTGAATGGTCCAGCCGACTGACTTCGAGACGAACCGGCGTTGACGACTGCACTGACGACACTGACTTGAACCGACCGACTGCGCGCGTGACTGGCTTTTCCCGCGCTTCCAGTGCTTTCCATGCTTCGCGGTAAGACCGCATGCGACTTCGAATGGAGCGCGGTTTCATCCCGGCGCATATCGTAAACCCAGGTCGTACGCAAGTCACGACACTCCGGGCGGCGGAAGGAGATGCGCCGGATGCCGTTTAGCGACTGCGACGAAGGAGAAATTGAGGTAGTAGGGGGGTACCCGCAACCCGTCGATCTATGGCATGACAAAAACAGACAGACATTTATATACTATGAAATGGCAAGGGTAAAATATGGCAAGATAATGTGATAATGATGATGACAATGTGTAAAGCTTCAAGTGACATCGAGCATAGTGAGGCCTTAAGGGCACTCAAAAAACCATTACAATAAAAAGTGGCAATAAAGCAAGAACTTCACAAAATGGGAGTAAATATACAAAAAACTACAGACAAAACTATATACAAAAACTAGTAAACAATGAAAAACTACTACACAATAGATAACTGAGATCCAACCTTCTGAACGTCGACAACGACTGCGCTGCACGATGATGTCGTGGAGACCAACTTGAACCGAACATCCAAACTGGAGACCAAACATCTATCGTCGAAACGTCCTATCGAACCAAACGAACCAAACGTCTAAGCGTCCAAGCGTCTAAACGTCCTATCGTCCTATCAGTCCAATCGAACCAAACGTCCATGAAGGTAGAAACGATGCGAAAAACGTAAACTGCTGCTAACCTTGCGTCTTCTTTATGCGTCTTCTTTAGTGATGGCGATGGTAGTTCTCGTAGATCACGTACATAGCTGAGAAGAACTTATCCACATCGGGACCGATGTCGCGAACTATGTAGTGACTGTAGGGGCACAGTGCCGGATGGTGTTCAGTAGAATCGCAGAGACGACACGGAATATCCCGTTTGCAGTATCCGGGCGAGTGCGCTTTCAGACAATACAGACATTTGCCATCAGAGACTGCGGTGATGGCGCGATCTGACAGACTCTTGATGTTGGGGCAACCTGCGCTGAAGTGTGCGCCGGTGGCCTTGCAGAAGTGACAGACCAGATCGGGAGTAGGCTGCTTCTCTTGCGACTGCTTGCGCGAAGAGCTGGGAGATGGTGACTTCTTCGCTGGCTTCTGCTTGCGCTTGTCCGAGTGCGCTGACGGTGAACGGCTAACTGCAACTGCGCGTACTGTGCGAACTGTCCTCGTGGATCCACGGTCCTGAGAAGAAGAGCATACTGAGGCAGACAGTGAATCGTTAGGCGCAACCGAAACGGTTACCTGTTGTGGAGTAGATGAGTGCGCAGTAGTCGTAACGGAGGTAGATGACCGAATATGCAGTTCCGTGGAGGCAGTAGCTGGAGCAGATTTAGGAATAGACTTCGTCTCGGGCTCCAGTGGGGTAGGTGAAATAGGAATAGGACCTCCAGTAACTGCGTGCATGTCCTCGATAGTCGGAATATCGTTGAGGTCGATTGATTCGGCTGGCAGTGACGACTCGAGTGTGATGTTATGAAGTCGTGCAATAGCCGAATTGATCTTCTTCAGCGTAAGGAATCCGGTGGCTGTTTCTGCTGTAGCAGTTGCGCAGATCAGCTTAATATAGTTGATAGTGATGTTGTAGTGCGCCAGAATATCAACGAATTCCTTGTTGTCCTCGATCGGGTTCAGCACGTGCGGAATAATCAGATCAGATAGAGTGTTGCGATGAGTCTGAATATTGTAGAGGAGCGCGAGTAGATCTTCATATAGTTCGGCTAGCTTCTCCTCAGACTTATTTCCAATATTCCGAGTGCGTAGATAGATCCGTGATTAGGGACTTGGATTTCTGAGTAGCAGTATGAAGGGCTTTGTAGGCCTGTACGAGTAAATAGATAGGGAATTTCTTTTGACAGGCGGATAATTCAGATCCGCTTTGTTCTCGTCTGGGTCTGGAGTAGATCGGCCTTCTGCGATAGCATCACGAATATCCATCATAGAGGTTGTGACGTAGGAATGCGTCAATCATGACGAGATCGCGAGCTGCTAGCTGCTCAACACTGAACGTGTGATCGTAATTGGCAGCGAGCGTTAACGACTGCGCGATTCGTAATGAGAGACGTTGAGATGGAGGGACGCTGCGATCTTCTGAAGCGTCATCGTCCTCGTAGGAAGCAGAATCAGAATTGAAGTTGCCCTTAGCGAGCTCAGAAATAAGTTCCATGGGAGTCATGTCGCGATAGGGGCGACGTAGTGGGGACTTGCTTCCGGGCTGAATAAGTGCTGGATGCTGACGTGGACGGTAAGAGCGTCCCCTCGGGAACAGAATAAGTAGAGTTGCTGCAGCTCGAGAATAGTGGCC